AGAATTTTAGACGGAAGGAAATGGGAAGAAAAATCGATCATTCTTGATAATGGGGTCACAACCAACAGGGCATGAGTATAACCCAGCCTCCACCTGCCCCCTACTTCCTTTCATTTCTGTTTACTCTGAAAGGAGTAAACAGAATATTGATACTATTGAAATAGTATCAATATTTCTACAAAGTAGAACTCCATCATGAAATAAATACATGATTTAGTTTAAAAATGGTGACCCATTTGGTTGGACCATTGGGTAAGGATTAAAAAAAATTTAATGTGTATTATTTGAATTAGGAAGATTCAGACCCTTTACAGCATTAAAATCTTCTCAACAGAAACGCGCCTAATGGACTGATACATGTAAAGTGATTAGCACGGTTCCTGGGCGTACACTTAGGACTCAGTCAGAGTTAGCAGTCACTGTTTTTGTTGTTGAAACAGCACACTGGTTCTGTTCCCTTAAGCAGTTTGGCGGTTAACATAATCCTCATTTTACAGAGACCACTCTGTGCATGGGCTACCCCTGTTTCCATGTTGACCCCAGAACCTAGAATCTCCAGGATACAGAACTCAAGTAACAGAAATGTGGCCACTTTATAAAGGGAAAGTTCCTTCAATAAAGAAGATCCAGTGACTAGAAGGAAAATATGGACAAATACAGAAGTGACCAATCAAACCTGGCTGGACTGGAATTCCTCTGTGCTTTCTCTCGCCTCTCCACTCTCCACCATAATTGGCCAAGCTCCAAACCCTCTAATCAAAACTTGCTCTGATAGGTCTACCACATGCCACCCTGTTCTTAACACTTGTCCAGGCTGCAGTTCAGGGAGAAAGATTTAGCGGCTCCTTCTGTCTCCTGTGTGTGGACTCAGCAATAAAAAGCTTTCTTTTTCCAAAAGCTAACATCACAGTTTTGGCTCCTATGCTCTTGGGCAGCGGGCCCTCGCTCAGTAACATTGTTATCTTTTCATGGTTGTTATAATCACTATTATTTAGTGTTCATTGTGAATCTGTAGAAGAAAGAAACTCTATGTTGAAAGGCTGCATTAAGATTTCACTTCTGTGGTTTGTACATTGGTATTTTACCAAGTTGCCTGGGAATAAAAAATAATGCTGACAAACCAGGTTAATTAATTCCTATGTAACATTGTGGTGTACAGGACATATATTACTTTTGAAATGTTTATATCCAGTGCCTCTGATATGGAAATTGAATAGATTCGTCTATCTAAGGTGCAAGGTGAATGCTTTGGTTCTTTCACTTCTCTTTCCCATTGCTCAGCACTAGTTCCTCAATCTGCTCTTTCAGGGTTTTGTCCAGTTGTACAGGGAGCCCGGGAGATCTCAGAGCAAATTTATCAGTGCTTCACTATTAAAACTGAGTAAGTTAAGTAAACTTTTGGTGTTGTAACAGGGTGTAGAGTAGGGCTCTCCAAAAATAGCAGAGCATATTCCCCACAAACTTCAGTTGGGGGAAGGGGATGATACAGCATTTAAGACACTTTGCATAACAATGTTGCCATTATCTGTGTTAATAGCTGTGCTGCCATCCTGTGTAAAAGGTGTATGTGACTTTAAAAGACTAGTGATTCATGACATAGCTAGTGGAGGAAGATACCCCTGTGTCACAGGGAACTCTTGTCGTGACTAAAGATAGTAGCTGAAAGAAGGTAAAAGATAAAGAACTGGAAAAAGTAGCATATCATAGGAGTGTACAGTTATGAGGTCACATAGGAAGTTAGGAAGTTCCAGGCTAAGCATTTAAAATAAGGGTGGGCAGAAGGAGAAGGGGATTCTGCCATGTGTCCTGGGACAGTAAGGAAAGAGGTCATATGGTCTGGTGTGGGATTTTGCCATGGGGCCTGGGGTAGTAAGGAGGAATTCCACCATGCAGCCTGGCACAGTGAGGAATAAGCCATATGAGCTGAGAGAGAGGAAGTAGCCATACAGGAGGAAACGGTGTGAGGAGAGAGCTGATGGAGCTGTGTGGGGACTGGCCTAACCAAGCAGATTCGTGGGAGATGCTTGAACTGAACTGTGACCAGGAATGTTGAATTGCAGACTTCTGCTTCTTTGAAGGATGCATGGGGAAGCCACCTTCTTGGGAAGTGTGCCTCCTTGGACTCCACCAGGATCCAGGGTAACATGGCACATGTTTCCCTGAACCCTTACATGGAGGCTGAGAAAACATCCCCTGGACCCTGAAGGAGAGAGCTCCTGTGAGAGGACGGTGACTCTGAAATCCATAAGAGCACATTTCAGAGAGCATGGAGGCCTGTTTGCATGGCCAGTTTAAGAACAGATGAGGATATGGGGAACTTCTGTGCATGGTTCTGGCTGATAGCCTGGTGGGGAGCAAGGGAAGTGCTGGGTCTCCTGGGAGAAGAGGGCTCTGGCAGCAGTGCTCTCAGCTCTCCTGAGGGTGGAATCTGTAAATAAAAATCTGTTTCCTTCAACACTAATTGTTGGATCATGCATCAAGGTGACAGGTGGACAAGCTAGGTTTGCTTGGTTACAGTGTTAAGCTTTGTAGTTCTAACAAAGAAATTAACTTGATCAAACTGAAAAAATGCTAGATTATAAACTAGAATAAAAGCCCAAAGATGCTACTCATTCCCCTATAACCCTGGTCAACCCCCAACCTTGTCTTCTATTATTCCTGCAAATCTCTCTGCACATCTTTACTATTCACCCTTCAATACTCTCCTTCAATCAGCCTTGGGCTGTGAAACTGACATAGACCAGTAAATCCCATGCTTTGGTGAGTGCTGTTTATAAACTTACCTTTCTTTCTAGACTTACTGTTCTGCTGTTCCATTGTCTCACAGAGTTCAATGATATTAATCAGATTAACTAATTTGAGGTGTGTTGTTAAGATTCACTGCAGCATTGTGTTGTTGTCCTGCAAAACTATTTTAATAGCTTTCTTCACATCCTCTGAAACTACGGGGGGATGAGCAGAGCAGATACTTGGAAAATGCTACTGTTTTTGTTTTTGATTTTGTTTTTTAATATTTTAACCAGGCTCAAATCATGAATGTGAAGTTATGCCTCCTTTTATGTTTTGCATTGGCTTGTTTTCTTATCAGGTAGGTTGGAATACATGTACTCTTTTCTGCAACCCCTCCTCCAATAGAAAGAGGACCATGGACTACAGAAAGAAAATTTTAATGATGTGATGGAAAGATTTTAAAAAGTACTTTTAAGAACATTATCTTGATGCAGCCTCTAAGGAAGAGATGTCTTTGGGAGACTGACTGCAGGAGCAAAATGACCATCAATATGGCAGAAAGAATACATGTAGCATGTGAAGCAGGTGGTCCTCTGACTTATTTCCCCTGTACAACTGCTTGAAGAGGATTCAATCTGGAATCTTAATGTCTACTTCTTTGGCACCTATTGCAATGTCTGGCTCATCCTGTGTGCTCAAGAATTTGAGTCATATGTAGAGTGCAGGGTGGTCATCTAGTGGATTTCCATAGCAAAACCAGAGGGAGAAATGATTAGGGAAAGAGGGAAAATTATCCAATAAAAAATTATTTAGTAGTTTAGAGAAAGGAAAAGGTAAGGCAGGCAGTAAAGATCAAAGGATTAGAATGTACAACAATGGGTCTAATATTATTTACACTAAAAACTTTTTGCAATAACATATTTTATCATTCTCTTAACCAAATATGCTATTCAAAAGTAATAATTTGAAAAAAAGTAGTATTTCCTTAAAAGTAAAAAAATCTTCCTCTTTAGGGAATGTTTTATACCCTAAATACAACCAGCTCAGTAGAAAGAAATGTAAACTTATTGTTCAAAAAAAAATAGAGCGTCTGAACAATTGTTTTGAGAATTCTGAAGAAGTTTACACAGTACGGAGCAATAACCCCTTTTGTACTTGTGTAATAAAATAAACACCTAATAACATCCCAGGAAGATGAGATGCCTTTCTTTGAAGCTCTGAGGAGTCATTTATTTTATATCAGGAACCATATTTTATTCATTTGAGCAATGGTGCTGGCAGACATTGATGAACTCCCTGGAGGCTGTTTCCAAGCCCACATTGTAACTAAATTGAAGGAATAAGGAGGTGTATTGAATCTTTTTAAGGCAAAATTGACATATCAATGAATCAAGGCCCATAAAGAAAAATAATTAATAAGAAAAAAAATGGAGACTGTCCACCAAGAGCATCACTAGTTATCACTAGTTAAAATAATTCTCTGTACTAAACGATTTATGGTTTTATTCTTCTAACCTCTTAACATTTTCTTGTTTTTTGTTTCCTACTGAACAGAAACTGCCAATCATCAGGATCTGCATATTTTAAAAAATGAACAAAAATCTATGAGTATGTGTGTGAATGTATAGACACACACATGTAGCTAGACAAATAAATCACCCTGCCCCTTTCCCTAGGCAGAAAAGAGCCTTTGACTAAGAATCTATTGAGGTCTGACCAAAGTTACTACCTCAGAGCTCCTTGCTTAACTCATGGAGGTGGTCAGGGAGTTTATAAAGCTCAGGCAGCAGCCTTCTCTCTGGTCTGCACTGTGCAAGAGGCAAGTGGCATGTGGGGTATAGGCTAATAAACTGGGCCATACACTGCAAATAGTGTTTGGAAGTATCCCATGTAAAAAACAACTCATTTTAACAGGACTACATCTTTTTTAATGAACAATAAAACCTTGCAATATAGTTAAATGATCATAGTTTGCAGCCATAGAGTTGGAATTGCCAAGATATTTCAAAAATGACCACTTAAAGTATTGACAGTCTTTTATCTTTAAATGATATTAACTTTTCTCTTAAAGTCTCTGCTTATTTTCCCATTGTTGGCAGAACAATCTCTGCTGGTTTAGACTAGATTTAAGTGTTATAGTTGATGGGTTCTTTGGATCCATGCATGTTACAGAGTTCCCTCAGATATGTGTTAGCATTGTGCCACATCCTAGATTTTGGAAAGGAAGAAAGCCTAAGAAAAAAGGGCAACAGCCAACCATGTTATCCTGTTCAAGCATGCACATGTTTTATTTAAGTATTCTCCAAAGGTCTATTTTTTTCCAGCATAATGCAGGTATTATGCTATCCTTTAAAATAAGATATATGAATTTCAAACAAAATTGTCAAAAACAATGACCTTGGTTACTCCATATGGTACACAGAAATAATTACATTTCACTTACAATACAGATGCACTTAACACAGTCATCAATAGTCATTCACCACCAACACAGTATATTTTTAAATCACCTAAAACACCAAAAAGTTTTTTTCTTTTCCAAAAGTCTAAACAAAGTAATAGTTTGGGATAAATGATAAGTTGAAAAGGAGGCAGAATTGTCAACTGAAATAACCTAACTGAACTGCATTTTTTAAATGTAATACTCAGAACATGAAAATAGAAGTTCTCATTGGGAATCAGAAGACCTAAGTATTCCTGATTGTGGTTCCTTCAGTCTACTTTTAAAAAAGTTCTTCAACAAATGCCATCAAAGAAGTTTCACTATATATTTGCTCTAGAAGCACAAAGTGACATGAGGCAGGTGTTAATATAATTGTTAATATTCACACTCCAGGAAGGTTAGTAACTTTTTAAAAGACATACTAGAAATAAAGCCAGTTCTTCCCAAGAGAGAGAGTTTATCTTATTTTCACTCATCAAATGTTTATTAAAATCTACTGTGTGCATGGTATTGTTCTAGAAGCTATTCTAGAAATGGGAAGCACGAATATCTGGCTTTATTTGAAAATAGGTGGATTAATTCCTTTTTATGATAAATTAGGATAGGCATTTAAAAATCTTTACAGTAGAGGGATAATTATTAACTCTTCCCATGTATGGAAGCCAAACTTGATTCCTTACACTGGTGGTTTGGAATGAACAAAACTTTTCATTTGACATAAAACTTTTTTACACAGTCATGTGCAGACCTGTCTGCTGATATATTTTAAAGGTGAAAAAGCATAGAGACTTTTCACTTAAGTGTACATAGAGATCAACTTTGCATCATCAAACTGCTGTCCTCCTGATTAAATGGAGAAAATAGCTCCTTGCAGTATACGGGAACTTTTCTGAGATAAATTTGTGCTGCCTTCTCCAGTGGTGTAGAAGGCATGCTTTTGTCAAATATTGTTACGTAAAGCACTTCAGTTTATCTCTGCACTTAGATTCACATTAATTATTCTCAAAACTTATTTGAGTTCTAAAGCAAAATAAATAATACACCAAGTGAGATTCTGGGAACACTGATCCTGTGATGATAGTCCCAGCACACTCTTCTAGTGAAACATACAGTGGTATGTCCATTATTTGCGCTTTCCTGTGACAGCAAAGAAGTTAGAGATAATTCATTAGAGTCAGCTCCTTTTTTTCTAATTTTTCACAAGAGGATTGATGATGACAATCTACTTACAGGATGATCTGTTAGGGAATACAAAAGTAGGAAAGTCATTTGAACTATAAAACATTAGTCCAGTTGATGATGATAAACCCATTAGGAAGGTGCTGGAGAGACACAGGAACAAGAAATGCACGGTCACGGGAACACAGTGGACCAAAGAATATTACTGAAGAACATTTACGACACAAGAGTTTTCCATTAAAACCTTATCTAAAACCTGGCCACACTAGAAATTTTTCTATGAAAGTGGCTCTTACTGTATTTATGAAGATCTGGAAAGTATAACAACAAAAATCCTGATTCCTGATACAACAGGTGTACAATGACTTATTGCAGTTGTAACAGTATCTAGGTGCAAAGTGAAATGATAATTAATACTGAACTATCTGAACACTTTTGATTTATTATTGAGCATCCCCACGAGAAATGCTGCAGTTCTAAAAGGAGTTTATTTGTACAGCCCACCATGGAACATGAATAATCAGCTTGTTGTAGGTGAACAGAAATTCCCCTTTCTACAATTATAGTTTATCATGCCTATTCTGAAGACAACATAAGGAAACTGAGATCACTGCTCCAAAGAATTCTAGCATGCATTATGATGGTTTCCTTCAGTTAATACAAATGTGTTGCATGAGTTTTTTTTTAATATGCAATAATCTTCATCATAGCCAATGCTCATGGTTTTAACAGGAAAAATTTTTATCAAAATGTTTTTCGCATTTTTTTTTGTTTTGCATTCAACTGGAACATTAGGTTCAAAGATTTATTTTATTAAAAAAGAGTTCTGGTCATAAGAAGCATCAGTAGGTGGCATTTCATTGTGCTCATTCACAAAGCCAAAGGGCCACAGACCATTCCTCTGGACAACAGGTCAAACGCTAAAGAAATGCCATTTGGTGGTTTTATTTCCATCCTCTAGTTTGGAAGCTTTGTTTTTATTTCACTACCAACCTTCTTGCTTTGCTGTTTTCATCTGCACATGGTTTATTTTTTTCTTCTTTCTTCCACATTGGTATTCTTTCCACAGCCAGGGCTCAAATTCTCCTAGACCTGATTCCAATTGTCTTACAAAGCAGACACTCTGACAATGTTTCCCCCTGAGTACTCAGGAGATTCTGGCCTGTCATCTCCTTCAGGAGTGGTTACTGGAGGTGTTGGGATGCTTATTATTGCTGTAGTCACATAAGGTTGTTCACAGTTTAGTTTAACACACTCTTCCATTTTGGCATTTAAACTGGATCGGCTGATGAAGAAAAAAATAGATTTAAGAAGATAAGTTGTTTACTTAAAAATTTTCCCCCTACAACTGAGGTGTACATATTATCATGTTTATAAGTAACATTTTAAATGTCTAAAAACAATCACGATGACTTTAAAAAATGAAGCACCAGACTTTAATATACAAGGTGGAGCAAAACTAAATTTATAGTTGTTCATATGTAAAATAGTATAATAATTAATAAATAATCATACAAGAATAAACTGTGTGTTTCATCTACTTACAACTATAAACCTACATTTGCCCCACTCTCTTTGGTAAAGTGAACATTGGTCAGGTCACTAATTATAAATAAATGTGTAAAAACCAGCTGAATTTTTTTCCATCACTGTTTTTCAAACAGTGTTTTCTACAAAAATGTAAGAAAGAGGATCAGGTAAATTTTTAAAACACAGGGTTGAGCAAAGTAAAATAGTTTTCTTTAAGACAGAACCTCTGAGAGGTTTGAGATACCACTAAGAAAGGTATATATCCGTAGATATGAATCATTTTACTATGTTGTCTCATTGGGATGTAGGGTGTCCTCAAAACTCTCACCCTCGTGATGCCCAAATGTTAAGAATCCCCAAAAGTTAGTCATCACTAGTACTTAAAGTCTTCCCCAAGTGGTATTCTTGCATGACTTTTAGACTCTAGGTGAGGAGGGGCAAAGGAGAAAAGGAGAAAGGAGGGTATACAGAGGAACCCCAAACTTTTATTTTCATGAAAAACTTAGTTTAAATATAATGTCCTAAGATTTTCCTTCTAAACACTTGTCCATTTTCTACTTTGGAGTGATAGAATATCTCTTAGACAGAAATCCTTCCTTACTCTAGAATTTAATATTCTGGTCCCAGAGATATCTGATTTATATAAGTCAACATAGCCTGAATTCAGAATCTCATCCAGGTTCTCCACAAAAAAGAAGCACTGAATTAATGATTGCTAATCTAAAAATATAAGCTATTTAATTTGAAAAATGAAGTGAAGTGATTTGGGCAAAATTGATCTTTTTAGTGACTTGTCAAAAACAAGAAAATATAGGGAAACAAAGGGAAAAGAGCAATGGAAAGATTTCACTTAAATTGTCCATAAATTCATTGGAGGTAAACAATTTTAGCATTTCACTTCTCTTTCTTTGAATTCGATTGACCTCTATGTTTATTGTGGCTCAAATACTTTTTTGATCAAAATTATACATTGATTCAAAACTGTGTAGGCACAGTTGTATTTTTCACTGTCACATTGACAGCGTTGATTCATTTACAGGTGCCACTGAATACATTTTAATTGTATCAATGTCAGTTTAACTTGTCTCTTTTAGCAGTGACTGTCATTTCAGGTTGTTTGTGTTCCCCTCAGGGGCTTCTGGGTATAGAGGTGACAGTTCAGGTAAGGAAGAGCTGTGGAATTGAAGAGGAAGAACTACACTTGTGGTCACCTGACTGCCTTATCTTCTCTCTGCTCTTTTAATATTGCTACCACTACTCTTTTGACTCATAATGAATATTACAATAGATTCATTTTCCTGTTTGTTATGGTCTAACTTTTGTCTCATTCTAAACTTTAGGAACTAGAATTTAGATGCCACAAACGTAGCAACAAAACTGCAGGTGGAAATATACTCTGGGAACCAGCACGGGTGTGTGTCCACACAGATTAGTCTACCTGTTAGATAGCGGGTTTCTCTCCACACATCTGATCTGAATCGTACTGAGTTCTTGCACACTGCCTCGATGGCTTCCTGATACATTGGCATTGGGGATGCGGAAAGTTTTTTTGTGTCGTCGTGAACAGCAAGTGCTGGTGACTCCTTGTTGTGAAGAGAGAGAGGGGCTGTGACTTGAAGGACGGTTGACAGTCGAAACCTCCATGCAACTTTCTTCAAAGACTTGTTCATCCACAAACTCGTGATTCTGTTCCGTAGGTGTAAGAGAATGTGAAGAAAGACAGAAATGTGCTTTAACTTTAAAAAAATGAATAGCTTTAGTTTTAAAACTCAAAAATATTCATGTCTATTTAGACTATTCATTGGGTAACTAACACCATTTTTATAAAGATTAGAATATCAAAGTCACCTCATACTGGCATTTGTGGGGAAATAAAATCTCTTTAATTAGACCTTGGATTGACACATGCAGACTGATTTAGTATTTGTTTGTGGGCTAACTTTATTTTAAAATATCATTTATTAATTAAAAAAAATCTGGAAGTTATAGCTAAAGAAAAAACTTGAAAATTAATATAGATAATACCCACAAATGTGTTTAAATTCACATTAACTTTTATTTTTAAACACATTGAAATATGGCAAAGAGACTATTTTAATCCAAGGTAAATTGTCTGCTAAATAATAGAAAATATTTTTACATGGAATTCAAAATATTTTTATATCAGAAAATGAGGTACCCAAGACACCTTTAATTTCTTTAAACATTCCTATAAATTTCTCAGTAGAGAGAAAAACATGACCTATTAGTTAAATAAGTACAATTTATTCATCTGCAAAATGTGTCACTTTATGTCCGACTTGGAAGGGCTTTCTTATCTTGGTGATACATCACCAGCTGTACTCAGAATCTCTACCTGAGTTCAGAGTTCTAGCCAAGAAGTAAACAGTGATGAACATCATTTCATAGTGCATCTCAGAGAACACAGTATAAAATTTGCTTTTAAGATATTTAATGAAAGAATTGCCTTCTAAGATGCCCATAGAAGACTTTTTCTTCAGTCACATAAGGAAAAATATTTTTGGTCTGAGCTATTAAAAATGACTTCAATTACTATTTTTTCTTTGTGTTGGTGGTAGTCTTATAAAGGGAGGCTTTCCACATGCAGGATTCCACTTAACTATCTGTCATCCTAAACATTAGCAAAACAATTGGAGCAATTCACTGGCTAATAGAAAATAGATTGTTCTAGTTACTCATTTTGTCATTTCTTTGCTGAGACAAGCATTTTGAATTTAACATCACACAGTTGAAAGTCCAGAGAAAAATATGTTCAGATAAGACAGAATTTTACGTTAAATATTACATTTTATAGAAAAAATATAGTTCACTGAAGATTCACAGTCTGTTTTTTTTCTTTTGCAATGTGCATTTCACATACATAATACAAGTTATAATGCATAAGATTCTAGATTCTGATTTATCTCTTCGGTGACTGGAAGTGAAGAGATCATTCTGTTGCTGGTTCCCATATATTTTTGTAGATAGCTCAATTTAAGCTATATCAATCGTTACTAAGTAATTTTTGATTAAAAAGGTCTAAAGGGTAAAATAGTGAAAAAATGAAAATAAAATGAAAGGAATAAATAGACATAAATGCATTTTATTAGTAATGTTATTTAAATTTCAAAGTGTTATTTTAGTAAGTTGCAGACTTGTTTCAAGTAATTTGCAATTTGAGATAAAGATCACTACTTTTTATGTGCCTCAAAACCTAGCACTGTCTACCCACTGTTCTTCTGTCTTCTCTTATGCTCTGCTACACTTTCTCCTTCTGACTAGCCTCAAATTCCTTCAAGTCCTCTTAGACTGTGATAGGCAGTTAGACTGACATAAGCACAGCAAGGAGGATGGGCCAGATACAGAAGGTTACCCGGTAGGAAAGCCCCCGGTGCCTGGCAAAACTGGGAAAACAAGGACTTCACCTTCACGGTGACCTTTCCTCCCTGAGCAGATTTCTGGTTATGGGTCCTGATCGTCTCCTGACCTTTCCTCCCCTGGCTGGTTTCTAGTCTTGTGGGTTAAACCTCCTTAGACAGGGAATGAACAATGGGGCAGGCGAGTAGCCCTTAAGCATTATGCCCCCTGGAAACTGAGGTTCTGACCTGCATGAAATACATCTAGGCCTCAGTTGTGTCTCAGCTCCAGGCCCAGGAAAGCAGCAAAATCAGACAGGTGACACCCCTGCTGCCTCAGGACCAGCTGCATTGACTAAAGACTCCCTTCCCTAGCATTGACAAATTATGGAGACCATGATTCTGAAAGGACACACCTAGCAAGGACATACCTGGAAAGGTAATGAATATTCTATTGAGATCCTCCCCTGGGACTTCTCCTAAAATCTCCACCCTTAAAAGCCCTTAGGATGGAGGACCCAGCCCCGGCCTTTCCCTGGCTCCTACTCTTCTCCTACCGGATGTGTTACCTTCATCTTCTTCTTCCCTAAGCTTCAAGGGCCTTTTGTTTGCCTCTATAATTTGTTTCCTGAACCTATTTCTTCTGCCACTCATTTCTACTTCTGTGACCTTCTAAATAAACTTTCTCTTACAGTTTTAGTCTTATGTCTGAATTCTTCTTAGCCAGAACTCAAGTACCAAGGCTGCTGAATGAAGGCCCTGTCTTACTCCACTGGTCTAACACCTGATGTCATTTTCTTTTTCGTTGTCAACACCAACAAGACCAAGTTCTAGACTTCCTCTGAAGGCTAGACATCACTTTTTATTCTCTTCATTTCCTTGCCTAACTACCTCCTAGTCATCCTGTGGGTCTTGACTTAGGTCCCTCCAGAAAGACTTGCTTGATACTGTAGATTCTGGCTCCACCATCTTTGTCCTGCTCCACAGTGGCCTCATTATTGTTTTGCTGTGCACTGTCCTTCCCTAGTAATATCCTTGTTTTGTCCCACACATGGAGGTTGATGGGGACAGAAACCACAGCTGACTTCCTGACATATGTTGGCTCACTCTCTGGCATGTAGTAGGCAAGTAATGCATATTTGTTGAATGCCTATATAGGTAAATGAAAGTATATGAATAAATGTATGGGCAAGATGTTGGAACTGAGAATACAAATATGCATCTCTAGTGAATGAGTGAGAAGTCTTGATCTAAACATGGCAAAAGTTTTATTCTGCTCTGTGGTATCTTTTGACAAGCAAGCTAGAGAATGGGTGACTTTGCTAAAGAGGAGGTCCAACTGGGTGACTATAAATGGAGAAATGTACACTCACTCTTTAGCCAGAGGAGCTTGATACTGATTAAGTGACATTTTTTCTTATGAGAACATCTAGTTTTTGAATAAAGAAATGCTTTGCATTCAGTCATTGTCTATTTTTTATTGTTGCTATTGATATTCCCTTCATTCAGATGTCAGGAACACTTAAACTTCATTATTTCTTTTCGGTTTAATGAGCATTTTTAAGAATCAGGGTAAAATGATATTTTACAGGATTTGCAGTCAACTATTGGAAAACAACTTTCCATCTGTATTAAACTGGTGTTTCAGATTAGAGTAAGGATAACAACAAAGGATAAAACCATTTGAAATAATGTCTCTAAAATGCCTTCCAAGATGAAATGTTACAATAGTCTTTCAAAGTAATTTCAAACACTGTGGGTTTATTTATTTATTTATTTAGTATATTTTCCAGTAATGCAGACAGTGAAAACCTGCCTAAAAGAATTGAGTATTCACAAAAGCGCGAATGAGATTGCTTTTGTGAGGGTCAGGGTGGGAAGTCATGCAGGCTCCTTACCGTGGTTTTTTCCAGGCAGTGAAGCAGGTGGTGGTGCTGGGTTTCAAAGCTGGAGCTAGATTTGCTCACAAAGGCCTGGTCATCCTCAGAGGACTGTGAACACAGAGAAGGACAAGGACTTTCTATTTTATTTGCAAACAATGAGAACTCCAACTATATACAGAGATCTTGACTAGTTCCTGAGGTTAAATGGCAGCATTAAAAAAATTATCTATAAAAGGGACAAACCAGCAGTTGATTTTAAGTTTGATAATCAGTATTCACATTTTTGTCAAATTAGCAGTCTGGTCTTTAAGACTTTTCTCCCTAAACAAAAAATTTAAATCTTTTCTACTCATTCAACTACCAACTACCTTTGAAAGCCTGACTACCATTATTTTTGGATAATAAAATTTAGTCTACTACTTGGATAATCCTGAAAATGGTATGCTCACCTAAATAAAAGCTATTTTGTAAGTAAAGATGACTGGAATCCTAAACATTAAAGGAAAGTTTTGAGCTAAAAGTGGTTTCTCAAATTGTATTTTATACTGTGTGCTTTTATAACATGAAAAGGTATTCTCCATTAAAAAGTAGAAGTAGACATTATGTCACTCCCTACCCCCATTCAAATGAACTTTAAGGAATATAAGTAATTTTGAAATAAAAAATAAATAGGTATTTGAATCATTGAGCATTTTTTACATTTCCCATGTAGAAAGAGTTCTAAATCCAACTCCAAAGTGCCAGGGGTTTCCCATGACACCCTTAAGCAATGCAATGCTCTGCACACTAGAGGGTGTCCTATAATTCGATTTAATTTGGGCACTATGTACTTGGAGATGGCATCACATTACACAGGTTGAGGGCTCAATCCTACAAGACTGCCCCCTCCTTCATACTTTAGACTCTAGTTGCAATCTTAACATATTTCCTGTGCTTCTGACCACCTGGCTGTAGATTGGAGGTTCTAATGATCCCTCCTTGAACTTTTAGATGCCAACTGGGTATAAGTCAGAGATTCCCACAACCTCCTCCTTGAGTTTGATTAGTTTGCTTAAATGGCTCACAGAACTCAAAGAAAAATTTTACTTAGTAGATTAATGGTGTATTCTAAAAGTATATAATATAACTCAGGTACAGCCAAATAGAAGAGATGCAGAAGTTGAGATATGTGGAAAGGGGTAAGGGGCTTCCCTGCTCTTTGCGTGTGCTGCTGTCTCACATCTCCACCAGTTCACTAACTAACTAGAAAGCTCTCCAGTCTCCCTGCTTTTGAGTTTTTAACGGAGGCTTCATTATGTAGCTATGATTGGTTAAATAAATCATTCGCCATTGTAGACCGAACTCAGTCTCTAATCCCTCTCCCTTCCCAGGAGGTTGGGGGATTTGACTAAAAGTTCCAATCACTCAGTTGGCTCCCCCAGCAACCAGACCCCAGCCTTAGGTGTGGTTCAAATGCCACCTCATTAACATAACAAAAGACATCTTTTTCAGCTTTCTTCCCTTAGGGACTTAGAAGTTCAGTGCCAGAAACAGGAAGACCAAATATACATGTCTTATTAGAAATCACAATATCATACCATGTTTATATGGGAGTGTGTAAAAATCTTCCCAGTCACGAATGAGAATCATGATTCACTTGCATTGTTTCATAGCCCGGTTTCTAACCTACCTCCAATAAGACTTTACAGGGAAGAGGTTATTAAAAAATGACCCTTTTGTTGTTTTAGTAGCCATTTTCACAATTACCCACAATAAAACTATATGGTTAAATAAAAATCAATCAATGTCACATCAACAAACTGAGCATTAAGGAAGTAAGGTGCTTGACTGTACCTGCAGTTGATTACTGAGTAAGCCATTCCGTTTGCTTTGCATGTAAGCGTTTGCACTTCCGCTCTTTGCTGCCCGGATCCTGGCGAGTCTGGCTTTCTATAGGAGAAGAAAAATAAATGTCCTGTTAATAGCTATGACTGTTTTCTTAAAACAGTGCTTATAATCTAGTATAATCCCAATGTCAGCATCAGATGTTTAAAAATATGCCAGCTTTTGTAACAATTGACAATTAAATTTTCATTATATTGAAGCAAGTTAGTAAGAAGCTAGGAAAATTCCCTGGCAAGTGGAATGAGGAAACTTAGACAAATGGCTGAACAGACAGACAAACAGTTGAATAAACTGCTGGAAAGGCTGAGCAATTAACAGCCAGCTAATAAATCATAAAGCCTTACCCTCCTTAACTGAAGATGCCTCAGAATAGACGTTTTAAATCACTGTAGTCAGGGAGGTAGATAACAAAAACCAATTAGAGCCCAACTAATCCAAGATAAAGGTAAAACTAACTAGAAAATGACCCCAGGCTCTATTATATGCTCATTTTAATCCGTCAGCATACTAAATGACATACTTAGAAATCTAATAATATTCTGTTGAGGTCCTTCCCTGGGAGCTCCCCTAAAATTCTCGCCTGTAGGACCTAGATAAAACCCTCAGGCCAGAGGATACCAGGGGACTCTTGTTTGAGCATGCCCACACCTTCCTTTTCTCAGGCTTCTCAGGCATGTCCTTTGCTTCTTCTGTCCTAAACTCTAAGGGTCCCACGAAGACCCACACCCAGGAGAGCAATGAGCAGTGGCAGCTGACTCAGAGCCTTGATCCTGTCTCCAGGGGTGCTTCCTTTGCCTCACTGTCCCAAGCTCTGATGAACTTACTCTCACTTTCACCTGCACTGGTGTCTTGAAATTTTTCCCTGCACAAATCAAGAATTTGGAGGTCATCTGACAAGAGAAAGGGCCAGCACTGGGCGAGGAGGTGGTCTGGTAGTGAGTGTTTCATTTTAGTTAACATATTGATAAGACTAATTAACTACTTCAGAGCTGGGTTATTCATTTTAAGGATTGCAATTAAGTCTTTACAGTAAGATCAAGTTATTTTATTACTGTTTTTGTCAATTGCGTTGAGAAAAAAATAGCTATATTACTTTATTTGTATTTTCACTTATGATCTGAGTAACTTAATGAAATAAGATCCAGCATATCAGCTGCCGACCCTTTTCATTTAAATTAATGTCCTTTTAAAAATTACTAATTAAGTTCCAGAAACCAATTGCCTTTCTTTCTTTATTTCTTCCTCCCTCCAGCCCCCCCACCAAAAACAAAGAAAGAAACAAGCAAACTATTTAGTTGCATCTTGGCCCTCAAATATAAACTTTTGTGGGCTTGTTTGCAGTCAATTTGCTACATTGGCCAATGTAGACCCCATGATGAACAATAGGGTCTCCTAAAACAATCCCTAAATTTATTCACCTCTTACCAGCACGGGTCCACACAAAATCATGTTCATCTGATTTCTATTTCACTCTTAAATTTGTTGACATGAACACAGTGCTCCACTCTGAAGAGATGCATGACATTATTTTTAGTTTTTAAAGCATTGATGTATAGAGAATGTTTTTCAGTGTAGAGGGTTTAGGGTAGTCAGTTGAATTGTTCACATTGACAGAGAGACCACCAAAGTGGTACTGCTGAGGAAATTGACTGCTTAGCTAGAATTCTGGCATTCCACACTACTTTGGAACTGCGGCTGTGTATCTGCTCCAGACTGTCACGGAATGAGTCTGATTTTCACTTCCTGGGGAGCACTGTTTTGGCGACCATTCTGTTTATGTGCCATGTATCTAGCATGTATGTGTAAGGAAGCAGCTGGGATATCTTGGACAAGAGCTGTTTTTGTAAAATTGTCCTTAAAAGACTCCTTCCCCTGCTCCTTTCTACACAACTCTCCAAAATACCATCTTTAGTACCTAGCTCTGGAATGTGTTTTAAAAAATAACCATTTAAAAATTATTTAAATTTTTGAAAATTAAAAGTGAATATATACATGTCACAAAAGTTTTAAACTACAAATGTGCATGAAAAACAAGCCAGTCTCTCTGGACCCTGGAGCTGCCTACTCCTACACTTCAGAGACAACCACCAACAATATTTCTAGAGAGTCTTTCCAGTTCTGGGCATATAAAAGCAAGTATGTGTGCATTTATACGTATATACACAGATATTTTACTCAGGAGGATATGCCTCACACTTTTACTCTCAGCTGTTTCCATTTAACACAGCTCGGAACTCATTCCAGATCTACATATATGCATCCATCTCATCTGTTTATGGATGTATAATATACCACTGTATGAACTCCAAGGAACATTTTAAAGCATCTTTTACATCATAATGAGAGTATCTGCAAGACAGATTTCCAGAAGCAGAATTATTCCTGGGATGAAATGTGTGTGTGTGTATCTTGTTTGATAAGTTTTACAAAACTTTCTCTCAAGTTGTTGCGTCAAGGTGCCCTTTCACCCACAGCATTTAAAGGAACACTGAGATGTCCAAAGCTCTCAAAATAGCATTAACATATTGTCTGGCTTCAACTCCACTCCTTTTCTTTTCCTCCACGAATTTATTCTTCTTGTGTGCTGGTTCCAGGTTAAAATAATAATCTGTACAAAGATCACATTTACAAGTGATGGGAAAAATAGACATGTTTTACTTTTTGTTGACAGTTTAATATTTACTTCACTCAAAATACTGAGACAACACTACACAATGAAGTTGGAAGGTAGAAAATTTTAACTTCAAGGCTGTACTGCTCAACCAGGATTTCAGGGCAGACTCAATAATAACAACAGAAAGTGACAAGTGCATTTGGAAATGACTTAGAATTGATGGTGGAAATTCAGAAATAAGTAAGTTAAATACACTTTTACTCATTTCCAGAAAGGGTTTGTTGTTGAAATTGAGGTCCTTGAGTCTCATTGGTCTCCTGGAACACTCAATGCCTTTTTTGGTTCTCTTCCTTTCCCTTTCTCCCTCCCACCCTTAACTCCTCTCTCCTTCTGTCCCTCCTTCCATCCTTCTCTCCTTCTCTCCACCCTCCCTTCCTCTCTCATTTTTCCCCTCTCCCTTCCCCTTCTCTTTTTCTTTATGTAACTATTGAGTGTAATTATAGATGATAATTGTGTATATCATATTTACTAGTTACTATATCAGAGTCACTAGTCTCACCTATGTCATGCTCTCAGCATTTAGTAACAGTATTAAGACACATTATGTCTTTCATAAAGGAGACATATAAATTAACCAAAAATACTGTATTGTGTAGCCAAGGAAAATCAGATCTTGCTCATGGAACGCCAACAGATATTGGCAACCACTACAATAGAAGTAGTTCTATAGCTTAGTGAAAAAGAAACAGTTACGTTAGAGGCAGAATAGCCATTTTGCTAAGCCATGTACTGTGTTACCAAAACACCCTTCCCATCTCAATGTCAGTCATGAATTTTATTTTGGGTTAATTGCTTTAATTGGTCTTGTGGGTCACCACACCAAATGTCTGTTGAATGCTAGCCTTTATGACCTGTGGTTACATGTCTAGTAGGTAATTGAGAGAAATTCTTTTACAAAGATATTTTAGAAAATTGCTTGATTTCTGATCCACTCAGTATGTGAATCTTGGCAACTCCGGCTGTGTAATTGAGAGGTTAAAAGGACACCATTCACTCGTAAGAGGAAATGTCTTCATTCCAGCGGCTACCCCGAACCCTGTGGGAAGTACACCTCCTTTGCATGGTCAAGTACTAGCCAATATTGTGGAAGTTAGAGTACAGCTTTAGTAAATATGTAGCTTGTATAAAAATGCTTACAAAATTTAATAAAAAATAAGGCTTATATTGTCAATATAAAAATACCTTTGCAGCTATTTTCAAAATTTTTATCTGCCTTGACAAATATTGATGGTGTTAGGAGAAAATTAATTGTTTGTCTTCATAAATTCAATTTTATTCTTAATTCTCTAAACTTGGCAGGGTTTTTCAGTTAGCTCCATAAAACTAGTAAGTATTACAGGTTAAATAGAAACAAACTGAATGAAGCAAACTGGCTCCATGGTCAAGAAAAGCCTGGGAAATGCTGAGAGGGTGGGCCGTTCCTGTGGGGTTAGAGTCCTTGAGCAACTCACACCCTGGATGCCAGTTGTGCAGAGGAATGGGGGCAGAGTGTGCGACAATGTTTCTCATGCTGATTGGGCACGGGACCTCTTTATTGTGGAGCATTTGGAGGCTAGTGTGCAGAGATTTTTAGCCCATTGATTGTTTTTCAATTGTGCCAAATTATATTATATGGATTTTACAATGTATTTTCTGGAGCAGAGGCTAGAATGCCAATCAGAGAAAGATATATAAGCCCGAAACCACTGAGATAGCAACTTCCTTAAATGGGTTCTGTCTTCCAAATGATGTATCATGTAGATTGAGAGACATTATATTAGACCCTCTTCTTACCAAATCACAAAATGTTTTCAGTACTTTTGAAAAAGGTATCCTAGGCAGCGTGGTGAGACAGAGCAGGCTTTCTCCCTTGTAATCTCAGGCAGATTCTTACTTCTGGAATTTCAGACCATGTACTGCCCTTCCTACACCATGCATGCAGGAAATTTTACTTATACTTATAACTTTCGTTTAAAGTTTAGTAAAATGCCTCATGTGGAGGTAGCATACTAAACTCTACTGGCTCTTAAAAATTTAAGGAACTTATTGGAATCTCCCCTTTTTTAAAGAAAATTACTACTGTAGAAATGAAACAAGTTAGTGCCAAATAATAACAAAATAAGAGGAAGGAAGTCAGTGGAGAAAGTGCAAGATTCCCAGCTCTAGAGTGTGGTTAATGCTGGAGATGGCAGGGTTGGGACGAGGCACGGCTGGGGTTTGGGCCAGTGGAAGGGACGCTGAGAGGTTCCAAGGAAAGGGCAGTGGAAAGAGAGAGCAACAAGGGGTGTGGGTTGGAGGGCGGAAACAGGATGTAGGCAGGTTTCAGGGAAAAAAGATTCATAGTTCTGATAATGGCAGAATTTTCTTGTTCTAGATTTTAATCAATAGGTCT